AGTAAAAATAGAAATACCTAAACGCGACCCATATGAAAATACTATTGACTATGACAACAATGGGAACTCGACAGGTACTCATTCGTGTTCGTAAAAATAGAAGAAAGTATACAAGAGAATATTATGAAGTTTTAGGCAAACATGGCAAAATGTACAGACTGCAAGCAGAAGATAAAACTACTATTGTCAGACCTCGTTTCAAACTTGTTAAGTTCAAGGTGGTATACTTTCAAAGACAGTTCCTAACAAATATAAGACAACTCCTGACGAATATGCTAAAGAAGTTGAAAATGACGACTAAGCAATTCTATACCATGCACAAACTGTCATGTAAGGTGGCATGTATTTTTTACCTAGTCCTGTAGATGTTGTTGTAAAAGTATGTTGGTGGTTTCCTCCTGGTTCAGTTTGTCGAAAAGTCTTTTTTGCTGAATGGTTATAATCTGGAGATAAAACGTCATAGCCAGCTTCATACTCTGAGTTGTATAATGGGTGGTCTCTTAATGAGTGGCTATGGTCGCCAGAAAAGTTTGTTGTACCAGAATGACTATGTGGTGGCAAGTTGTCGACAGATATCGTTTTACTTCCACCTGTTTTCTTTGGAGTGTGTGCACAATACAAAAAACTTTCGAGTATTTGAGTCCAAGTTCCAAAACCAAGTACTACTTCTGGTCTGGTAGAGTTCATTGACGTATAAATAGAACCAACGGGTAAATGGTTTGAAGTATTTCTGTCTTTAATGTTTGAAGCTCTTTTTGTCTGCTTTCTTGTCATATAAATCTTGAGCAGTGAATTTAATTTTGTTCATCCTCCATGACATAAACATCTCTACATCTAATGTTTCTCATCGTTGTTATGTCGTCATCCGATGTTAAACCTTGTGGAAAGTTAGGAGGTTTACAATATATTGCATCCCCACCAGTTTCTTCAACCGTTCCTTCAATATTTTCTATACCAACAGTTGCGAAGAAGCTATGTGTATGTCCAACGTCACTTTTCCTGTTTAAGGTTTCTTGTAAGTTTGTAATATTTGCAATGGTATGTGTATGTCCAACGTCACTTTTCCTGTTTAAGGTTTCTTGTAAGTTTGTAATATTTGCAATGGTATGTGTATGGTTCTTATCCGCTTTAAGGTCTAAACATCCTGAAACCCACCCTGTATCGGCTTTACCTTTTAAAATCTTTGTTGTCCGTTCATGGTACCATTCAACCCTTTCTATAATTTTTTCATCTTTTTCATTCACATATTCCTTATCTGCCTTCTTCACTAACGCACTAGCCACACGTGCTAACTCATCGTCAACATACTCTTTGTCAGCTTTGTTGTCAATATCTGCTTTCAAAAGAAGTTCATCTATAGGTTTCTCGTTTAAAGTTCCTTTTGTTGGATTTACACAGACAGTATGGTTCTTACTGTCTTGAAACAGAAACTCGTCTGTCAATGGGTTTAATCGTCAGTTTTAAGTTTCCTTCTTTCAATGACTCAGATATCTTAGAATAGTTTGAAAAGTTTGTTGTGTTCTTATTTAGAGCTTGCAAATGAGTTGTCGGTTGTGTTGTATTTCTCTCATAGACGCTGTTTCTTTCGACATTTTTATTCTAGATAAAATATGCTTTCAATAGAAAAAGAAAATTCAAGAGTTGCTACAACTAAACCATTAGATGAACTTTTTACGAATGTCGGTCAAAAGTTTGAGACAGAGACCGTAAAACATGAAGGCTATCGTTTTGACTACCCACTAAGATGGTTAAGAGACCCATCCGTCACAAAAGCTATTGGCTTTCGTAGAATGAAGTTCATTTCAGAAGCCATACATGGTTTCCCATTTACGGTCGCTTTTGAAGTTCGATACTATAACAAAGAAAAACGTACGTATGAGAAATTTGAACAGGGAAAACTTTTACAAGTGAATTTGCTTGTAAACTTAGAAACAACTCTTCAAGCTTTTCAAGAAAAAATAAACGATATCTATATCGAATATGCAAACAGTAACATTGACGAAGGAGAGTACCATCTCGATATTTATATGACAGGAAAAATGCAACTGTTAAAATCAATAGAATAGAAGACCTTGGAGAAGACGTTTATATTTCTACAAAATATAACAACTTGGCATGGTATAGATTTTTGAGGATGTTAAATCAGCCTGCAGAATATCCAGTACACCCGAACTTTTATGAAGTCGAAAACCCTAATGGAACATATGAAAATGTTTTCGACTCAGATGCTATTATAGTTCATGCTTCATTTTCTGGCGCACAAAACTCTTTTTTATGCTTGGCAAATGACTTTTACGAAAAACCTACAAAGCTATATGAACCACCGAGTGGAAGTATTTCGGATTTTCAAGTATGGTTTACTACAGATGGAAGAAAGAGAATAATTCCATTATACCACGCGTTTTACTTAGAACTTAGTTTCATATACAACTACTATCGAACGGTAAAAATATAATTTTTTAATACGGTTGAGGTGTTGGATTTGGTTGCCAACTAGACTGTGGTGCAGGTTCAGGCTGTTGTATAACAGGAGCTTGCTCTTCTGGTTCAGGGTCTTTAGGTATAATACCAACAAACTGACCTACTCTTTTACCAATATTTTTGACTCCGTTCCAAATTCCTCTTCCGACGGTTTTTATTCCATTCCATATACCTCTTCCAACATTTCGAAAGAAGTTTCCTATTCTTCCAAAGAAACCCATTTTACTATATGTAAAAATCTAATGTCCACCTAGTCTCTTACGTTTCCTTCTGAGTTCCATAGCATTCTTTAACTGGAGCTCATACATTCTGTTTCTCCTCTGGTAGAAAACATACTCTGGGTCAACTCCTGTGTTCGCGTCATCTGCATAGAGTTGTTTATATCCCACTTCGGGGTTTGTATAAAACTCTTTCCATCTCATATTTGCATACCATGGTGGTAAGCCTAACGCAGCGTCATTTGACATGGCAGTTTGCATTTGTACATCTGTTGGCACTTGACCATAGTTTGCCATTGCAGTTTGTATTCTAACTTCATTTGGAATATTCTCTGGGTTTGGTTGTCCAGGTTGCTGTGCATTCGCTAAGTTCTGTGCGTCCATTTAATATTAGATAAAAATATCTCTTACGAGTACATATGCTGAACATTTGCTGGTATTGGTTCATCTTCATATTCTCTATATCTTTCTGCCACGTCAAATAAGTAAATGACACAATGGAAAAAACCTAAAACAAGTAGTCCTATTTCAAACCACATTTACTTACTAGTAAAATTTCTTTGTTATGACACTTTCTCCAGTTTATAGGACCTCTCTCATATTCTATCTTATCGTATCTAAACTCATAGTCATGTATGTCCTCTAACCATCTCATGACACTTTCCAAACCACTTTTATCGGATGTAAAGTAAAAGCATGGATGGTTATGTAAAACGTCTAAAGTTTCTAAAGAGTCTCTCAAAGTCCAGTCTACTTGGTATTGAAAATCCCATGTGTTATAGAACGGCGGGTCCACTATAAAGAAAACATTTTCCTTGTCTTTATATTTTTCATACAACTCTGTCCAATGACATCTCACAAACTCTATACCCTCAATATATTTTTCTATGTTCTCTTTGAAAACATTTGTATAGTTAAGATATAAAACTTTTGACATAAGTGTTTCAATGTCATGAACTCTTATAGCACCACTATATAATAGTCTAGCAGATATACTATCCCAGTCAATATACTCTGCCTTTTTCAAAACCTCTCTGACAGTATTTTTCTTATCTAATGGTATACGTTCCATCTTACCTATAGGTATCTTTTCTTTTAACTCTTTCAATATTTTGTTTGTGTCTGGTATATGTTTGAGACGGTTCATATAGTTGTCGAAGTCATTGCATATAATCTTTGAGTCAGGAAATATTGTATGGCACAAATGAGATATATAGAAACTTCCACCGAACAAGTCTACAAATGTTAGACCATTCGGTAGTTTCTTAAGTTCTCTCAATAGAATATCTTTACATCTACTCTTATTTCCAAAGAAGGGTAGCGGTGGTTTTGTAAAATTCATTTATATATAATAATAAAAATGTTTTTACCCGAAAAAGTGACAGAAAAGTGACAAAGCATGAAAACATATATAATTTGTGAAAAAGTGAAACATTATATAATGTTTTCGACCCAGAAGAAGGCTTCTTCCCAGAAGCAATGGAGGAAGAAGAAGAGTCCTCCGAATTCACACCAGAGACTAACAATTTTCCGAATAAAAACTTCATTTATACTAAACATCTTCGGGGCTAGAGGGCACGAAGTGCCTGGAAGCCCCACTACCTTTTTTTTTTTTTTTTTTTTTTTTTTTTTTTTTTTTTAGGCATACATTGAAAATGCATTTAAAAGGAATATTACAAACACTTTCTCAAAATCGCAGAGTTATTTTCTCAATTATTTTACAACTTCGCTTATTATATTCTTATACGCATTGCTACATAACAATATTTAAATAATTTTTTTCTGTTGTTTCAATTCTTAAATGCTACCTTCAGACTGTACATATCTTGAGAACCAGCATCTTGAATATATTAGAGATATCGGCCATGGAACATATGGAATGGTTTTCCTGGTCTATTCTCAAAGATTTCATCGTCAATTTGCCTTGAAACGAATCGCTGCAAAAAAATTCAATTTTGGAGAAGTTCAGAGTCTTTCGACAATCGATTCTCCATATGTCACGAGATTATATGACTATCGCGAGATAGAAGGCTTTATTTACTTACTAATGGAATTCTGTCCATTTTCAATTCATGATATTCTCAAAACAACAGAATGCATATCACCGAAAGAAACAATTCATCTCGCATATGGAATTAGGCCTTAAATCTTTGCCATAAGAACTTGATTTCACATGGCGATTTAAAGCCGTCCAATTTTTTGGTTGATGAATTTCGTAGGCCAAAAATATGCGACTTTGGTCTGGCTCGTCTTAGAATTCAAAATGAGATCTGCAACAATTTTGACGGATCATTTGCTTTTATGGCACCAGAAGTTATTCAAAGAGTTCCTTATGATCCATTTAAAGCTGATATCTGGTCGCTTGGCGTTTCATTGTATTGGATGTGCACAGGCAATCTTCCATGGCAATCTGGAACAATTCGATTTGTTACACAAGAAATTCTCAACGGATCATACAATTTGGGTCAGGTCCCAACACCTGAATTGATTGATCTCATTAGACACTGCATGCAATACAATCCAGATAACAGAGCCACTGCAGAAGAATTACTTAAATTACCTTGCTTTAGTGATCTTTCTGGTGGCAAACCTATAATATTCAAGAGACGAAGTATTGATATTATCCATCCTCGTATCTCTATGAAGGTTCCTATTAGAAAAGCCTTCTCGAATGTTGAAAGGTATTAATTTATGTTGTTTTGTTATTATTTGTTATGTAAATATGCGATAGTATATAGTTAGCATGTATTTAACTGACAATTATTTGTTGTTTTCAAAGAATTGATTCATTGTAATATTTTTTATTGCATTCATGCGAACATAATAATCAATGCGAAAAATGTTCGGACTTGGGCTATCTCTTCAATTGGAAGGACATCCGAAACCAAATTTTTAGATTTATTGGATAACCAATATGACAGACATGACTGAAATCGACTCTTAATTTGCCAGTTTTGGCTCTATTCCTAGCAATATCTGTAGTTTTTTTGACTGTAAAACAACAATCCATTATTTTTTACAAACGATGGGATTTTAATGCATGAATATCTTACATCTAGTATGATGATGAGAATTTAATTAAATTTTTATGTAAATATAATTGTGAATGACTTTTGAGGAAAGAATTTTTTTTTATCTCGATATGAGGCGAAATCCGGAACTTTCATCTTCCAATCTGATGAAGGCATTTGGAAAGAAGTTCCGAACAACATATGTGCGTTCAGATGATGCTGAGCAGATAACGGCCTATCATTCAGAAGTTTTTCAGCATTTATTTGATTCTCTTTTTGTTGCCGGTTCATATCCATGGGAGAGTGATACCGAGCCAAAGATACTATTCCAACTTCCAGATAAAGGTGATGTGGCAAAATCTTTCTTACCGTTCCTCTTTCCTTCGCCTCAGAAGAGAACACACTTAGATATTACAGACTATTCAATGGGTTTGAACTATCTTTTTTATACAGAAGCAGGAGATAACTATTCTTTCGAATCTTTATATTTTCCACAAAACACAGACTGTCCATATTTATTTGTTATGAGATATGATGTCACTCCACTTACCATGCCTACATTTGCACACGAACTTGACTTCAAAGATTTACTTCTTTCATGCAATCCAGAATGTTTTCCAAAAGCACAAATTTGCATTTGTGTTCGAACTAAGTTCCCATACTATACACTATTCAAATCATTCTTCGAATGGATCATTCAAGCTGAAAATGTCGGCCGTATTGAAATTCTTCCGAAGATTGATGGTTATCTTAGCAACAAATCATATGATTTCTCAACAGAAATACGAACAGAAGAAAATGGCGGTTCGCTTCTTGTTGGCGAAAGAGTATGGCCAGATAATCAACGTCAAATCATGAAAGATAGCCTTATTTTCTTCTTAATTACCATGCCACCAGAACGAAATGCGACAATAGAATACGATTCACCACCATTACCCTTGTTTAAATGGACACGTCCCGATGTAGAAAAATCATATCGAAACTTGGCTATCCATTGCATGCACGATGTTGCTAAATACATTACCCCTGATATCCTTATACTCATTTACTCAGCATTATGCTTAGAAAGAACAATTATTATATATCATCCCACAATTTCCATTGTTTGCAACTTTGTTATGGCCTGTCATTTCATTTTACGTCCATTCCGATGGGCAGGCAGTTCCATTGCCCCTCTTCCTAAGTCATTAAACGATTTTTTGAATTCGCCAACTCCAATTATCATTGGGATCATTGATCCGCTTGAAGAAATACAAGATAACAACGCATATCTTAATTTACAGTCGAAGAAGTTCAAAGTTTCCGAGAAATTACCTTTAATTTCAGGTCACGACGAACTGAAGTCGAAACTTTCAGAACACTGGGCAAAAGCAAGTGAAGGAGATGAAGAATCATTGTCATCTTTACTTGATGACATCGAACAAAACTGTACACAGATCTACAACAATCTAAAAGCGAGCATTGTTGCATGTCTTTCATCAAATGAGAAGACGAAAAGTACTTTTGTTGAAGAACTGTTTTTGGAACGATTCCAAACAAAAGATCGTCCATTTATGAAGCAAATGATTGACTCACAAATGTTCAGAATTGCTGCTGAACAAGAATGCAAACTTAAGTCTGATTCACATACTTTTGCTTAACTTTTTATTATTTTATTTTATCTTTATTTTGTTTATATATAAACTTTAAAATATTAGCATGCTATCATATGAATCATATTGTCTCATACTTATCATTTAGAACTTGAGTGGTAATAAGTTGTTCTTTGAAATCGTACATTTAGCAAACTAATTAATTTCCAAGGACATCGTTGTTTTAATTAAATTGGTCTATCTCATTTATATGATCTTATTAATTAAATTTGTGTCCCTAATAAATGAGAATTTTTGATACTATTTTGTAATTCTGAGTATTTTTGATAAAAAGATACGCTATATTTATTGATTCCAAGAATAAAATAATTATTATATACAAATTATTTGATCAGTGCCTCAAAAAGAAAATAATATTTAAAAATCAGGTGGATATTTTATTTCAAGAAAGTATTAGCATGATTTTTTGAGTGACTATTAAATTATTTCATTGATGTTTTCTTTGTAATACCTCTAAAGCTGTAAGTAATTTAGCAGATTTTTGATTCGAGAAGAACTTTCAGCCATAACATCACATTCCTCTTTTCAACAAAGAGCTCGTGTAGTATGTTGGTGCTCAGATGCCTTATGTACCATACAACAACAACAAAAAAAAAAAATTGAAAACTTTATTCACGACTCTATTGTTCAACTATTAAAACTCTCATTTGTAATTAATTTCATGGACTAAAATTAGATTTCCGAAAATAGGTTATAGATGCTTATGTATTATCATTAATTTGTTATTCAAACTTCGAGAGTTATCTCACACTTTCGAAAAAAAAGACTGTAATTTTTATAATGAAAAGTGACAGATTTTTTTTGAATTGCCCAAACGGGCAATTCAAAAAAATCTACTCTTTGTTAATTTGATATGATGAACATTTTTACAATACCTCATAAGGACATTGCTCCAAACGATGTCTGGAATTTATATTTTCAAGGAGAGTGCTCTAAAATTATTAATAATACAAACAATGCAACTGTTTCTCTTTCAAATAAGAATGAAGTATTCCTATTCCAATGCATGTTTCGAAATTGCTTAGCATCTATTATTAATTTAACTAAAGATTACGCTCATATAATGCATTCTGAATGTTTCTTTGAAAGTTGCAGTTCTGATATAGGACCTGCTGTACGCATTAACCATAATGATTGTTCTATTGTCCAACATAGATTTTGTTCTCATAATTGTTCTGCTTCTTCTGAAGCTCATCATTCATTTTGCAGTTTGAGATCTGAAGGGTTAAATTTTGTAGATGAAAGCTCTGCATGCGGATGCGGTAATTCACGGAGTCCAATCCTTTTCTGGAATAATTTAGGATTTATGAGATTTTCTTCTACAAATATAAGTAAAAATATTGGATCACAAGATGTTGCACTATTTGCTGTTTCTAAAAAATTCGAAAAGCTGAATTATACAACTATTGAAAGTAATAATGCCTCAGACACAAAGATTATTTGTTTAAGTAATGGGCAAAAGTATCAAAATGAAAATTGTAATATTTTGAAAAATTATCAGGAAAGTTCTTCTGGTGGAGTTATATTTATATTTGGTCAATTGACATTAAATAATTGTTCAATATTTGGAGATCTTGGACAAGGAAAAATATTTTACTGTGATGATTTTGCATACGTCGTTATTAATAATTCATTCTATGATAATTTAACATCATTCTGGAATCACCCAATAAATATTGCTGAAAATAACTTGCAAACATCTAATTATAGCGATTTCAATTATAATTATGGATATCTTTGTGATTTATATTCAAATAAGTTCAATCCTAATCAGAAAGACAACAATATCAAGTGTTCAATGATAGGATGCTCCAGTAGAACTGACTTTATTGGTAAATTATTTGTTGTATTGATAATTAAACGTTAAATATTCGTGTGATGTTTTATATTATTATAAATAGGATTAATTAAAAAATTGGGAATATCTTCATAAATTGCAACCTATTTAAAATCAATTTATCAGTCTGGTATTTGCCAACTTCTAAGTTGTTACTCTCCGCTTCCAATGAAGAATATTAGATATGCCTAAAATATTGAACCTTTTCATTTGCTACAAATGATGAAGTCACACTTCTTAAATTTGAAAAGTTTGTTATATTAGGATTTTTGATGAAAAGTGACAGAATTTTTTAATTGCCCATTTGGGCAATTAAAAGAATCTACTCTTTGCTAATACAAATAGTTCATAAGGATCTTGCTCCAAGAGATGTCTGGAACTTATATTTTGCAGGCGAATGCACAAATTATGTTAATAATAAGAACAATCCAAAATTTGCTCTTTCAGCCGAGTATGAATTGTTTTTATTCCAATGCATGTTCCAGGATATCGAAAATACTGTTATTGACTTTATTTTAGATGGAGCAAAAATTATGCATTCTGAATGTTCCTTTGATAGATGCAGTGGACGAGATGCAGGTGTATTACAGTTTGTGAATTATTATTGTTCTATTGTCCAACATAGATTTTGTTCTATTAACTGTAGTATTATAGCAATGGGTGGCCTTCACTCATTTATTTGGATGAGAGGGCCATTACTAGATTCTTTAAACTATGTAGATGAAAGTTCTGCATGCGTATTCGGGGGAGTGGCAATCCTTCTCTTTTCCATCATCGTTATGGAAAGATGAGATTTTGGTATTCGAATATAAGTAAAAATTCTGTGCTGTTTGTAATGACTTTAGCATGTACGGGATTCGAGAAAATGTATTATTGCACTTTTGAAAGCAATATAGGTTCACTTTCAATGATATCTGAACTATCATCTGTAGATGATGAAAATAATATTGAAAAATGTAATATTGTTAAAAATATTCAGAATTTCGCTTTTATTGGAATTTTTATATTGAATCATGGAGAATTGACAATAAGTGAATGTTCGATTTTAGGGAATTTTGCAAAAGGAAAAGTATTTAATACTACAGAGGACTCTCAAATCATTGTTAAAAATTCTTTCTATGATATTTTATCATGTAACAATGAAAGAAATCTAATTATTGAAAATAGTGAGAACACGTCTATATATAACTCTCTAAATTACTATTATGCACATCTTTGTGAATTCTATCCTAAATTATTCATTTATATGAATATGAACAACAATAGGAGATGTTCAAAGAAGGTTTACTTCTGTAGAAATGATATCAATCGAAATTTATTTGTCATGTTGATGATTAAACGTTAAATATAAATCAAGAAAATTTTATATTACTTGTAGAGTGTCCTTGCTTTAAATTTGCATTATATGAGTATTTCTTCCGGCATTAAATAAATTTGTATCATTTGCATTATTTTGAGTATATCATATATTATTGAAAATTACTTAATGCAATGTATTATCCTCTTGAATTTAATACAGATACAATCGTTGTTAACAAAAGATCAGAATTATGATTTTAAAATGTTCAACTCTTGAAGAACTATGAATGCAGGAGACTTCAAACATTTAATTTGCATATAGTGATTTTATATGGACTCTCAGAACAATGCCGTAATGCTATTAAACTTCTGTAAGGAAAACCTCATGAATTTTTTTTTTTCAAAAAAATTATGATTCCTCTTCTTTCTCTTGATGAATTTGAAATTGAAGGCCGCGTTGGTGGAGGAACTTACGCAAATGTTTTTGAAGCCATACGTAAGGATAATGGTCAAAGATTTGCACTTAAAAAAGTAAAATATTTCTCAAATGTCCCAGGAATTCCATTTGAATTCATTCGAGAAATCAAATCGATGCATTCGATCAACAACAGTAACATCATTCATCTCAATGGTATAATTGCAAATGAAAAATCACGAGAAATTTACGCAGTTTTAGATTATTACAAATACGACTTATCGGAATTAATTCATGGTGGATATCTTCGAAATAAATGCAAAGATTATATCAGAATTATATTTTCTCAAATTGCATCTGGCTTAAATGCAATTCATCAGTCTGGATATATGCATAGAGACATTAAGCCTGCCAACATTCTCATCAATGATGAAGGTAAAATTGTTATATGTGACCTAGGCTTATGCAGACGAGTTATTCCTTCAACAAGGTATTCATCCAACGTCGAAGCCCTTCCTTATCGTGCTCCCGAAGTATACAAGAACAGCTATAACCAAAAGATTGACGTCTGGAGCCTCGGATGCGTTCTATTCGAACTTTGCACGCATCAACTTTTATTTGAACCAAAACCTAACGATATCTCCATGGCTGGTGAACTCGCCCATGTCTGTAATGTACCAATTGAATGTATTACTAACGCAGAAAATTCAGAAAATCAAAATTTAGATAAATGTACAATAGAAAAGATCAAATGCAAGGAATGCAGTGAATGTTACGACTTACTTGCTCATATGCTTGTAATAAATCCAGAAAAAAGATATTCCATGGAAGATATAATGAAACATCCTTATGTTAGCGAAAATACAAAGACTACAATAGAGATAAACGGAAAAGAAATCCGTTCTGATGACGAAGATTAAATTTTTTTTATTGACGAAATCTGTATTTTAAATAAATTCATTTATCATTTAAATTTTTTATTAAAAACTTTTTCTCATTCAAACTGTTCTTAACTGCAATCTACACATTAAAGAAAATTTGAGATTGAAATTCAATTTTTCAAAATTTCTTTTAAAACATAACACGATAAGTTAATTTCAACGTGCTGATATGAGAAATTTAATAGTTCTTTAAACAAACAAAAATAAGAAAATTCATATGAATATTTCTTACGAATTTAAGGATATAATTGCTCTTAACATCTCACAAGAGACCATATTTAATGAATTTATGTCTTATGGCTTACAATTTCAAAATAGTATCGATATTATTTTGGATTTTAGTTGAAATCTTTTAAAAAATATGATTTTTATGAAATAAACCTCATGTTTATTCAAGTTTTATCCAAAAAAATTGTTACATAAGAGAAAATTCTGGATCAAGTAAAATTTCATCGTCATTTGATTGACTGAAATCATTAAGGAATACGTCATCCAATGGGTAATCTGATACTGGGGATGTGTATTGGATTTCTGCTGGTTTTTGGATATTTTGAATTTGATTTTGAGAATTCTGGATTTGAGCGTTGTTTTGGATGAACGTCATGTTCTTTTGTTGCATTAAAGCATAAGACTGAGCGAGTCTCTCGATAAAGCGTTGATTCTTTAATTGTTTGCGTAAGTTCTTTTTCATGCGGTTTTTGACGCTGATTTCAGTCCTGTTTGGGAAAGACTTAGCGATAAGTCTCCAGCGTGGACCTAATTCCTCATATTTCTTGATGAGGAGCTGATCTTCTTCCTCTTTCCAAGGAGACTTGTCAAGGTTTGGTGCTAGATAGTTAGTCCAACGCTCCTTGCATTGCCTAGGCGTTCTGTCAGGCATTTTGCTGGCGATGGCCTTCCAATCCAGGTCATCTCCGATGGATTCGACCAAATAAGTCAGCTGCTCGTCTTCTTTTCGGCTGAATTTGGATCTAGGATGAGGTTTACCACCTCCCCCACTCTTTGGCAGCTGAGCAATGTTTTGCAGCGTTAAGAGCTGGAACATTGCTTTTTCTTTTATGAAAATTGTGGGCGAATTTCGGTTTTTTGATTGTTAAAATTTTTGGAAATCAATTTTTCCCATCTAAAAAACGTGTTTCAAAACTATTTTGTTAGCGAAACGTGTTATCCAAACAACAACCATAATTAATATAATGTTGAAATGTAAAATAATTTTACAATCTGAATTCGACAATAATCTATCGTATCGTATTAGCCTAAGTGATGTATTCTCATTAGACAGATCAGATTAATATGTTTCACATTCGCTTTTGTTCGCTATCAATCGTATTTAGCGTTAATAATTACAAAAAAACATGTATAGATGTTAAAAATAGTGAATTCAAATTAATATGATAGTAACGCTTTATTATCCACTGAGTTTCATATGAATTAAAGAAATTCAAATATGAAAATTTTTTATTTTCGGAAGCTAAGATAGAATAATTACTCTGTAAGCTGAGGCAGGACTTTCAAGATTACATCTCTCCATCTGTTGGCCTCATCGATGTCCATCCATTCACCAATGCAATGAGCTTTTGGAAGAGATGGACAAATTGACACCATATCGGCATCATATCCAAGGAACAAGAACTCTGCTGGTTCAACTGTTACTTGGAGTATTCCTAAAGGCATATCTCCGATAATTCCTTTAGCTGTTTCTTGTACAATCTTCGCGACCTTTGATTCGCGTGGTGACCATGGATGGCCGGCCAATTGTGTCCTGAAAACTGGTTTCAATGGGGACATGTTGAATAATGACTTAACTGTGTAGTCTACGTTATCAAGTTCAGCTTGTGTTGCTGATCTGCTGAATAAGTGTATGTGGAACTTGCTCTTTTCGGAATCAAATGAAGCAAGAGCGAGATTCAATGAAGTATCTACTGTTGTTGGGAATTGTGGATGGAATCTAACAATGCCATGATGAGCAGCTTGAATGAGATAAATCAATTGATGGGATTCATATGAATTAATGACTTTCTTGCCAGAATCAATTGATTCTGTTGAAATTACACATTTTATGTCATGTTCAACAAGTTTGAAAGCATCAATGAGGTCATTCAATGCTTCGTTAGCAATTTTGGTCGCCAATTCAATCTTTTCGGCTTCAATTGCAACTGTGCATTTGCAATGTGTTGGAATTGCATTAATTGCATGGCCACCATTAAAAGTGACAATTTCGTAATCGATATCGTTCTTCTCTAAAGCGCTTAATATTTGAGAAACCCATTTAATTGGATTTCCTTGTCCTCTCTGAATTGTTGCGCCTGAATGGCCACCGGAGAACTTGGACAAGTCAATTGTAAGGCCTTTCTTGCTGGTTTTGAGCTCTTCAAGGTGAAGATCTGTTTCGGATCTGTACATAATACCTCCTGAGCTTCCAACGTAGATTTTGTCACCGCAGAGTGAATCACAGTTCAAGAGGTATTTGAATTTGAACGGAGTAATTGATGTTTTTTCTGTTGTGTTTGCTGGAGGGAATTTCTTGATTCCAATGAGACCAACTTCTTCATCTGATGTCATAATGAGTTCCATTGGGCCATGGATGAAATTCTTCGCATTTTCGATGACTTCGAGGCATAATGCGACGCCAAATCCGTCATCTGCACCAAGAGTACTGTGAGGAGCAACAAGTATACGTTTTCCATCCTTTTCTTGTAACTCAACTTTGATTTTGCCGTCAATTTTCTCACCAACCCAAACCATGTCGAGATGAGTTTGGATTGAAACAACAGGTGAGTTTTCTGGCATTCCATTTGCAGGAATTCTAGCAATAAGGTTGTTGTGCTCGTCAATTTCTGTTTCTGCACCCATTTGGTCACACCATGACTTCACAACTTGTGTAATTTCGCCACAGCCGAAGCTAGGGTGATCAACTTCAGTTAATCCAAGGAACCACTTATAGTAGCATTGAAATTCTGGCTCAATCTTCGAAAGAATCTCAAGATTCTCCTTAGAATGAAGAATATCTGTTGATTTCATATAAAATCTTTGTCACTTTTAACTTGATCGGTATTTGATAGCTAAGTAAGCTACTTAGAGTTAACCTTTTTAATTTGCGTTTTGCCATATGTCAGGCGATTTGCTGGTGCATGGGACCGGAATTTTATGAAACATTTTAGTTGGCTGCATGATGGCAGATAAAAAAGAGTGATTTTTTGGTTCTGGTGAAGTAGTTGAGCAGACCACACACAGCACGATGTATTTGTTGTCGGTCATTAGAATTTCAGATCATCATGACATTCGACTCAACAACTAAATTTTGAGAACTTTATTTTCAGATATCCCAAGAAAAAATTGGGCAAATTTGAAAAGTAGACAAATAATTCACATAGTATATAGTACTTTAGATGACTATTATATTGTCTCTATCAAATCATTTTTTGTATGAAAGTAAAGATAGAAATCTAAGATTTCATCGTCAAAATCTCAAAGAGCAGCCTTTAATTTCTCTCACGATTTTATTTGTCTTATACAGACATGGGTTCAATGAACTCAATAAGCGAAAAGGCTGCTCTTTGAGATTAAAAACAATAACATAGAATTTACAAAACATCAAACAAATCAAAGAAATATTAGAAGCAAGCTTACAAAATCTCCATATAGCTATCATTAAGCTCAGATTCTACAAGATCGTAGTCATTGATCTCATTATAAGCGGGAACAGGAGCTTCCTGGACCTGGTATGGCCATGCTTGTATTGGCATAATGAATTGTGGATTTTCACACATCGGCTGCTGTGACAATGGTTTAAATTCTCCAATAACAGGCTCTGAAACTGGAGTAGAGAGTTGCACTTTGGCAGGAGATGGCTTGTTGACCATTGTGTGGCATTGCTTTCCGCGTCTGGATTCGAGCTTTTCTTGCTTCTTGATCTTTCTATCGAGCAATTGCCACCTATACTTAAGGGCTGCATCGGTTCTCTTGTTGAAATACTTCTTAAGAGCAACCCACTTTGTACCAATTTCCTTTACTTTGGCTAGAAGAAGGTTATCTTCTTGTTCGGTAAAGGGTTCACTGTTAATCTCTGGGGATAGGTAGTTCTCCCAACGCTCCTTGCACTGGCGCTTGTTTCTGTTACCCATACGTTTGGCGATCTCATCCCAAGAGCTTGTTCCAATGTGTTGGATGATATCAATGAGCTTGTTGTCGTCCTCTAGTGTGAATTTGTGCTTCGGTAGGCTACGAGGAGAGATGGAGCCAAGTGGGCTTGATGTCATGGAGGTCTCACTTGAGTACATTGATGCTGAAATCGGTGAAAAAAATATAAAAAGGTGCTCTAACTTCCTTTTTGAGAACTGAATTGAATGATAATTTTAACGCTTCATTGAAAATTGAGAGCTAAATATAACGCAAGTGAAAAATTGAATATACTATTTAATTATATATGGCGTATTTGGTATCTTAATCAAGATTCTTCAAATATCTGCCAATGTGAATGTGTCAAGCCGTCGAATTAAAAATAACAGTCATTTTTGATTATCATTATCGGTGGGTGAGTTGGTACACATATTTTGCCAATATGATATACAACCAAGATCACAATTGCTTTAGTTTTATTCAAAATATTTTTCAGGATAGAAAATATTGGAAATAAACTACACATTGATTGATTAATGTTATTTGTTAGTTTTGATTTGAGAAGGATTTTATAACGCAAGTATTCAAAATTTAATGAATTGAAAACTATTATTTTTGGTTTTAGGCATAGTTTCAAACATTCAATCATATTATCCAATAATATATTTTGAGAAATCTCACAATTATCTCATTTGTTAATTATTGCAATTTGTTATTAAAAATGATATGACAAACCACGCACTAACTATTATGAATTCAATAAAATTTTGACAATTGATTCTTTTTCAATGTCTTGTGATTTTAATCGCCCCACATTTTTGTCGTATCTGAAAATGAAAAGTAATAACCTACTTTGATAGATTGTCCAATTTTATTTTATTACCAAAAATAATTATCGACTCAAAAAAAAATTAGGCAAATATTTTGCTGTAACATCTGGAAAACAACGATTTAGGAGCCATTAGAAATAGAACAGAATAACAAGACTAGCATACTCACAAATGATAATACTTGGGTTTCTCAAACAAACTCTGGTATTTTTTTGAATTTTTTTTATATAATCACTCAGAATACTTTGCCAATCTTGACAATTATATTTCCAATAAGAATAGTCGATAAATTGCATATGAAATATATGAATACTCTAAAAATGTATAGTAATGAAAGGTATGGGAGCTGAAATTCCCATTTTTGATATGCTTCTAGTTTTAAGGATGAGTTAATTAGGCGAAATGAAGACAAGTGATTTAAATTTTTGCCAAATTGAATTATTATGAAAATTAATTTAAAAAGATTCCCTATTTTGTTTAGTTCTAGCTTTGACAATAACTTCATTAGATGATTCTAAGGCAAGTAACTGATATTTTTAACAAACAACATTTTTATGAAGAAAAATTAAACAAAATTAAAAAGAAAATAGCAAATATTTATGATAGAAATAATAAAATAATAATTAATGTTGAATAGATTTGAGGAATTCTGCTTTGATTTGAGATTTGATCTTTGATCTGAAATCTGCGAAAGTTCCAGGGAACTTCTTCAAATCCATATTCTCACAGACATATATTTCGCCATTGATCAGTTCAGCGAAATGTTGGTCGTGAGTAATAGCGATAATTGCACCTTTATATTCACCCAAAGCCTGACCAAGGGCTTCGATTGAGTCCATATCCAAGTTATTTGTGACTTCATCCATGATAATAAGGTGTGGATTTATAATTGCGATTGAAGCCAATACAACTTTGGTTTTCTGGCCACCAGAAAGGGATGAAATTGGTCTTAAAGCAACGTCACTACCGATACCGAACTCTCCGAGTTTTCCTCTTAATGCGTCAACTTTAAATTCTTTATGTCTGTTGACCATGAACTGTAGAGGTGTATCGTTGTAGTCCATTTGGTCTATGTGGTGCTGTGAGAAGTATCCGATCCTCAAATTCGAGATCGTTTGGAAGAATCCATCTTGAATTTTATTTTCTCCGGTTAATATCTTAATAAAAGTGGATTTTCCGGATCCGTTTGCACCGATAATGATTATTCTGGAGTTCTTCTTTATTTCGATACTCAAATCATCGAAAATTGGCTTTCCAGGATAAGAAAATTTGACGTTTTCACAAGTAACGATTGTATCTTGAGCAGCTTCAGTAGTAAGCTCAAATTTGAAGAATACAGGTGGATCCTTTTCGATTAACTCGACTTGTTCTTCCTGCATCTTCTGAATTAACTTTAAACGTCCTTGTGCTTGAGCAGCGGCCCACGCCTTGTATCTGAGTCTTCTTACGAAGTCTTCTTTTTGTTCAATGGCCGCTTGTTGGTTCGCGTGCTTTCTTTCGAGTTCTTCGACTTTATTATCAAATTGTGTCTTGAAACTCGAGTAATTTCCACGGTATGTAGTGAGTTTCTTGTCTTTTAGATGGATAATGTGCGTGCAAACGTTATCAAGGAAGACTCTGTCATGAGATATCGTTAATAAAATCTGATCTTTGCATTGTGTGGTCAGATACTCTTCCAACCAGCAAACGGATGGTGCGTCAAGGTGTCCTGTTGGCTCATCAAGCATCAAAACGTCTGGACCGATGTATAATGCTTGGGCCAAAGAAACTCTCATTCGAAAACCACCGGAACAAAGGGAAAGAGGGCCTTGAATCTGTTCCGGAGAGAATCCTAAGGATACAAGGATGGAATGGGCCTTGGCGTAAGCGGAATTCGAGCCAATTGCATTGAGTCGATCTTGTATTGCGGAAAGTTCATCGATTGTGCCTGAATGGTCTTGCTCAAGCTTATGTAGTTTCTCTAGTAACTCGATTCTTTCGATATCGCATTCTAAAACGGCGTCAATAACAGATTTTTCTGAAATTGGAGCTTCTTGTTCGACATGGATAATAAGCATATCGTCTGATATACCTTTGAGTAAATTCGAGTTCATATGCTTCATTAATGTTGTTTTTCCCATACCATTGCGACCAACAAGACCGTAACGATTTCCAGGCGAAAGAAGCATCTCTGCGTCTTCGATAAGACTCATAGGTCCTGCTGATATGTTGATTTCGCGTAAAATAATGTCGTGTGGGTGATGATTAAGAGGACGTCTGAAAGTTGTGCCTTCTTTGAACTGAGACTTCTCAAATTCCATGTAATCAAGTCTGTCTTGTTGGTAATTTTGCTTTCTTTTCTCTTCTTTTCGCCTTGCTCTTTCGATTGATTTTGCATCTGATTCAATATTAAGTTCTGGCATCTTGGCTGCCTCGAGTGGGCCTGACATTTTCGATATAGATTGGGTTAATGTCATTTCTTTAACTTGTTTGTTCATTAAATTCGAAAGTACAACTGGCTTCTCTAATTCTTCTTGTTCTTGATTTTCTTGTGTATCTTCTTTCATATTAAACAACTTGACGCAAAGTTTTTGGATTTCGTCTTCGTCTTTTTGGTCAATTAAGCATTCTGACAAAATTGGTGCAGCAATTTCACTAAATTCATCGACAGTCTCTGATGAATCAGCTACTTCGCATATGTAGTCAGCCATACTTTCATCTGAAATAATCTTTTTAAGATAGTTCGATAATGCTTCCATGAATTTTTTTTATTTTTTGATGGTCGTGTAAAATTTTTTTGGAAAATTCCTATCAAACAAAAAATTGAGAACTTGATTATTGAACTATAATCCCATCAAACTTATCATTAACAATTGTGATCTCGCATTCTCTAGGTATTAAATGAGTTATATAGATGTTCAGGTTCCATTGTTTTGCTATGTTTTGATGATAAATTCGTTGAAAAGAATCTGATATTGGGCGATGTTTAGCCATACCCTCACATATTATATTTGTTTTTAGTTTGCTAATGTCATATAAGATTTTCCCCGATTTTGTACATACATTATTTAATTATATAATGATTTATGTTTTTTCACCAGTAAAAAGCTTTAAATTCAGCTAAATATCGTATACAACGAGTGATATGATTTCTCAACTTAAAAATAATAGAGGGATTTAATAATAAAAATATCAAATTTTTCATTCATTTTTTAAAAAATTAATTTTTTTGAACAAAAATTTGTAGATTATGATCCATCTAAATATGGGAAATAAAAATAGTTTATACATAGATGCAAAATATAAAACAAAATATCACATATACAACAATATAAATTATTCTATTGACCTACATGATGAATCGAGAAAAATATACAGCATTTTCCAATATCCCAATCTTATATAATAGTATTCAAATATGATGAATCATAAATAATATAAATTTATTTCGAATTACAAAATATTAGACGTGAATAAGGAATTTTTTCAACACCCAAAGAGAGATCTTCAATAAATTTTCTCAATTCACTCGTTTTTGTATGAATTCTAACAAATATTTGTTCTTTGGACTCCCTAGGATAGAAAATGATCATTTTACGAATTTCAATATCGATGGATACATAGACTTGTATCATTTTAAGCACAAAACTAAATACCAAGCTCGCTAGCTAATTATAAATCTTGAGTTTTATATTCTGAAATCACGAACATGAGAACGTGAACCAGATATGTATGATTTAGTTTAATTAACAATCACAAAATGCAATTTCTATATATTTACTCTTCAATTATTTCATCATTCAAAATTCATATTCGATACCATAAATTCTGGCCTATAACGGAGAGATCTAGCACAGAGGCGTGCTTCTACTCACATTATAATCCCACACACTTTCATTACTTCAAGAAAAACAAAATTCTCCATGAAAAAATGTTCTAATTTTGATGAATTTAATAGATATCTGAAAATCTAAGGTCAAAAAGCAATAATTACATACAAAAATTTGTTTATCCTATTGATAGTTCATGCGTCATCATAGCCATCTGTGATAATTTGATGACGAAACTTGCTTTCTTGATTGATAAGCTCACTGCGCATATTCATATAGTTATCAATCTCAGAAAACCTAGACTGATATATCTGGGTTATTTGGTTCTTGTGGTCCAGATAATTTTTGCTCGACTCATTCAAAATTGATCTATATTCATCATACGCACGCATAAAAGCCTGAACACTCGGCGGATACTGTTGCGGTTCTTGTTGAGATTTCGTGTGACAGGGCCCAATTAAACCAATAATAATCCACACTGTTTTTACGATTCTAAATCGTAGCAAGACATTGTAAGGGTAATAACGACGTATTACATCGTCTCATGCCAGGCAATAAAGTCTCTAGGTAAAAATTGCTACAAAATATTTTACTAAAGTCAGTAGAAGTTAAATTAATTATTTGCCCCAACGCTAACGTTCTAAAGACTCGTATCAAATAGTTCACCGTGACATACTTATATAGTTAACATTGGTCTCAAAAAATTGTTGATCAAAAATATGAATCTAAATCATAAGTTGGATTGAATAAATTTGATGTCTCGAGTCATAATTGAAGCTTGCTAAAAATCAAAACAGAAATGTTCTTTAAGAACGTTCGAAGCTCTTCATAGTAGGTGAAACAAGTGGGAACGAGTTCTCATCTGCGAAAGAAACTGAGTCTGAAGGTTTCAGACAAAAGAGTTAAGAGATAAGTAGCACAAAATATAACGAAAATAACAGATAATGCTTTGCCTACGATGGACAGTGGCATGCTTCAAAGTGCCTCTATTGGAACTATCGGTTTTAGTGAGCAAAAAGCCTGCTTGTTATGGATTACGTAAAAATGATTACAACAAGAGCCAAGAATACAGACCTTAGTAAATGCTTTTTCTGTAAAAACGAAGTCAGGTAGGACTATATTAATCTGGCCTGCAGTGTGCGAAATAGTACACATTTGAGCCAGTTTGCTGCGTCATGTGACTTTATGCATCATACATACTAGCTAGTGGAAAATGAGAACCTATAGTGTATACCAAACCTCAGAGAAGACCTTGCACCAGACTACCTAAAAACATTTTACATCCGTTTCACATGGACACAGACACAGGCGATGCACCAAAACCGCAACAAACCAACACAACAACAACACAGCAACAACAGTTTCAAAACCTGCATCTACAACCACCTCCACAACCGCACAGCCAACCAACAGTTCAAATACACTGCACAACAACAACCACAAACCACAAGCACAGGACATAAAGAAGTAGAGAACAAGGAAACCAAGAATTCTTAAAAATCTTAAAGAAGACATGGTTACCCAGACGACTGATTGACTTTAGTGACAGATATAAAGAAGCTATTGAAAGTTCAAGGAAGAAATTCTGACCCGAACTATTAGCTTTATGGTTCAGCACCAAAGGGATATACATTCAAACCTGGAAAATACGAAGCTCGCTAAGGGATATGATTAATAGATTATGCATCAAATGCATGATACGAATTTACTCCGAATATTTGGTTGTCAGAAGATAAATGATGATTCAACTATCTTCATGGAAACGGCTAAAAAATAGAACGGAACGAAAGACAAAAGCTTATGAATGCGGATGGACTAAGATAGGGAAACTTGTGAAAACGGTCTCGGAATATAAGAAATGCCAGCAGATGAGGTACAAGAAAACTCCACAGGAAGAAGTTCAGATACAACCAGACATGGAAGAAATAGTTACAGCAAACAACAGCTAGCAAGAGCCTGAAGGAAACGACAAGTCCTTCTTTGGAAATAACTTCAAAACTAGATGAAGATTTGGACAGCCGAAAAAATCTTGACCCTCAACAAGAGTATGAGGTGAAAAATATTCCGAAATATGAATTCAATAAGAGTCTAGAAAATTCGGCTGACATTGTAGAAGAATAGTCGAAAAATGTTTGCGACATACAAAAGACTCCAACAGATGAAAATATTCAGCATAGAATGGAAGAACTGAAAAAATGTACAAAATACAAAACCCTTTTTACTTACGACCATTAACGTTCTATCTTGGGATGACTCGGTGAAAGATAAAATTGTTAAAATTTCACAAAACATATAGAAATGAAACATTGTTTAAAGTTCATTTCAGAACCTAACAATGGAAACAAACCTACTTTTGTTTTCTGCAGACGATGGAACTACAATGAGATGGGGTCATAAAGTAACCCGGATAGGTGGTTTCATAAAACTTACAACCACAATTCCAAGAGTTGTAGACGCAATGGAAGTCAATGGTGAACAGATATAGTGGTATTTTAGGCGCGGCTTTAATGCATTGAAAGATATGAAATGCAGATATTTTGGACCAGTATGAAATGAACATGGCTGATGGAAATACTAACACCTGACGTTCTCTAGAACATTTATCTCAAAGAACTACACAGAACCATAGAGATGGTATATTTGGTGAAGAGTTTAGAAAGAAAAAGTTATTAAGGGAACTAGAGAGGAAGAGAACCTATTGTACATGACCTTGCAACACGAAAGTTTACAAAATGTCCATAAAAAATTACTTTGCAGACAATGAACGAGAAGGGATGAATATTTAAGAAAACTCAAATGGACAGTACCAAATGAAATGTTAGTATTGAAAACACATGTTCCTTGAAAAATAAAACCAACTACAGAAATAAAGACACACAGCTGAAAAGATTGGGTAAAAGCTTTCCCATTACAAAAAGATATAATTGGTAACGATGAAAGGAAAACCAAATGGCTAGCAAAAAAGATATATTTGGAAACGAGCTTATTCCATATGGACAGCCTCTGTTTGAAGAGCTTGAACCGGAAACTCAGGAAAGAGTCATGCAAAACAATTACGCGAAGACTCAAATACAAACTATGACAAACCTTTTCTAGGATATAGGTTACTGAGATGGGCGACCAGAGCCAAAGGCAAAAAAGGACATGGGAATTTACAACATACTAGAGTGAACATGAGGCAAAGATGCAACAACTTGAAGCAGAGGCAAGTACAATATTTACATGATACCAAAAGAGAAACGTCGCAAAGTGAAAGTAGTGAAGAAGTAACTTCATCTAGTGAAAGTAGTGGCAATGAAGGAAAAAGAAGAGTTAAAAACTCAGTCAGGAAGAAAGTAAAGCTTGGTCCACGTGGGTTCTATTATGACATATAAATCCAACTATTCTATATTTTACTCATATGAAATGTACGCCGCTCAGAATATAACGCCAACAGTTTTGGATGGCTATGAATGGAAATGTTTCCGAATGGTATAACGAATGCGACAATGCCATTAGAAGGTCAGAAATAGTTCCTGGAACTTACGAATATACAACTGCTGTTTCTTATGGAAACGTAGGTGAGTTTGGAGAAGGTTCTTCAACAACAGTAGATATTGCTTGCGACAGGTTTCATATTATTTCTATTGACAACTCATTCTATACGTGGAACAAGACATTGAAATAAAACCTTCTGCCAAGTTTGTCTGACAAGAAAGGTTGCAATGAATTTTCTATGTCGGATACCAATATGCTGCCAGAAGTTTTCATGGGATATAAGATATATTCTAACTCTGACTTAGTTCAAACAGTAACATGGGCAAACTATGAATGGTTCGCTTTGAGAAACTCAGTACAACCACAAGCTAGAGAACAAACAGACGCAGTATGCAACTATTGAGAAAATAAGAAGACTTGACCCTAACGTTCCAGGAGTTTATGTTAACCTT